GGAGGGATCACCCCGGGAGGCTGCGGCCTGAGGTGGTGTCGGGGCTGAGGGAAGGAGTGCGGAGGGCTGCGTGTCACCGCGGGGCGGCCCCGTCCCTGCCTCCCGCCTGGAGGCCCTTTCCCAGGAACCTGGAGCAGAGCTTCCCAGGGCTTCCCCCTTGCTGACCTTATCATGGCTGGGGGTGTCTGGATTGGGGCAGGACTCAGCCGTGGCAGCTCTGGTCAATGCAGGATTTGGGCTCAGCTCTGCAAAGCTTATTCTCTGGACAGAAGCACTTCTGAGCCTTCACTGTAGACTTAGTTCACTTCAGTGTGCTAACTGTGAACGCAGGCCAGAAAGTCTTTGCCCCCAAAGTACATCTTCTTCTACTTGTTTTCCATAAAAATGGTGTCTAATTTGCAGCTTTCTCAATCAGGTGCGTTCAGGCAAACCCCACGTAACCTTGGCCAGAACTAAGGAGCAATGTCACAACAACTCTTCTACCGTGCGCTGGTGTCTGCAAAATGGCTCTCAGAAGCTATCAAGTCCCAGCAGTCTGGACTGGCTTTGAGAATTGTGGATGCATCCTGGTATTTGCCAAAGATGAAGCGTGACCCAAAGCGGGAATTCGAGGAACGACACATACCTGGTGCAGTTTTCTTCGACATTGACCAGTGCAGTGACCGTACTTCACCCTATGATCATATGCTGCCCAAGGCTAGTGACTTTGCTGAGTACGTGGGGAAGCTGGGTGTGGGGAATGATTCCCATGTTGTAGTGTACGATGGCAGTGACCAAGGACTCTTCTCTGCGCCCCGGGTGTGGTGGATGTTTCGGACCTTTGGACATGAAGCAGTTTCCCTTCTAGATGGTGGCCTGAAGAACTGGCAGCGAGAGGGAAATTCGCTGAGCTCTGGAAAGAGCCAGGTAGCTCCCTCTGAGTTCCATGCCTCCCTGGACAAGTCCATGGTGAAAAGCTATGAGGACATCATAGATAATTTGGATTCCCACCGCTTCCAGCTAGTGGACGCACGCTCTGCAGGACGGTTCCGGGGAATAGAGCCGGAGCCCCGAGATGGTAATATACCTGCTGAGGCACTGACAGCATAAGCAGGGGCTTCATTTAGGGTGCCCACCGGCTTGACTCCTGTAAAGACAATGAAAGGAAATACAGCTGTCCTTTATGTGTCCGCCTGTCCTCCAAGCCCTTTGACTATCTACTGCTGCTTCTAGCTTAAAAATCACTTAAGAGTGAGGAAGGCCATGTGTTCTTTCTCATGAAGGGCTGGGCTGGGAAAAGTAGCATCCATACACCTTAGAAATGTTTATTAGTTTCTTCATGTTCTGATACTACCTTCCATACAGAGGCTGAGAAGGTGCTTCGGTTGGTGATTCTGCAGAGCGGACTGCTCTGATGCAGGGGAGGAAGAAGGGAACTTTGTAACAGCTTTCTTTGTCTGCTTGGTAACCTAAAGGTTAGAGTCCTCATTTCTGAGGGCTGCACATCAGAATGGTTGTCTGGTAAAGCAAACTTTAAGCAAAAATAAATAATTTATTTCAACAAAATATGGAGTTAAAAAAAAAAGGTGTGTCCAATGAAACAGAACAGGTTTTGCAATGGACTCCTCCCAGGTAGTAGAGGTTAATTTCTGTCTGTATTCCTTTTCCTCCAGGAATTGAGCCTGGTCATATCCCTGGGTCCCTGAGCATACCCTTCACCGATTTCCTCACAGAATCTGGCTTAGAGAAGACCCCTGAGCAGATCCGCAGCCTGTTCCAGGAGAAGAAGGTGGACCTCTCTAAGCCGTTGGTAGCGACCTGTGGCTCTGGGGTGACGGCCTGCCATATTGCTCTGGGGGCGTACCTGTGCGGCAAACCCGATGTCGCTGTGTACGATGGCGCCTGGGTGGAATGGTACATGCGAGCACAGCCCGAAAATGTCATCTCTGAGGGAAAGGGGAAGACAGTGTAATAAGTCGCTTCCTCTCCTAGGCTTGCAGATATTTTGCCTTGAAACAGGATTTGGAATAAATGGATGAATCGTTCCTTGATGTGAGAAGTGTCATAACATGAAGGTATTGAGTAACAAACATGAGTACGTGAAGTTTAGGCACTTTCTTCCCGTATCGCAAGTGTGTTGATGCATAAGGATCATCTCTCTTACAGTATCAGATGAGAGAGAGTGCTGGTAGCAGTGTGGGGAAGCCATTGACTCAAGCCAGCCTCATGACTTGGGACATTTTGCCATGTTTACTCACAGGATGATCGTTCTTGTATAACTGGGCCTTATGATCATGCTCTTTGCCTGACTGTGAGCATCTGGATGCCTGTGTCCTAGAATCCACCCATGTAGATAATGGTCATTTTGAGCACAATGGCTAGGGAAAAGGCATAGTCATTGTAGAAGCAGCTTTGTCTTCTAGTTTGGTGCTCGAGGAGTTAGAGATTGGCCTGGATTTCTTTTAGTGCTTGGAATCTTAACTGCAATGTGTGCTTAGCTGGTTTTGTATCCCGTATACCTCACATCTTTTTATATCTATCTATATAAATAATAAAAAACTTGGATTAAAAATATTAAATAAATGTGTTTTCAAGGCCTTTCTACTAAATGGTGCTTATGTGGATGTGAGTCTTTCCTATGGAATCAATGTTTATGGGATCAACTTTTCTGATGGTTCAAGTGAGATTTTTTTTTTCTTTCTTGTGTAGAATGACTTTTCCTTTGCAAGCCTTAGGGTCCAAGAACAGTTACATATAGCTCTCCTTTGAGAACTATATGCGACTTCTTCTGCCACTTTCTTCCTTCCAGTCTTTTGCCCATTGTTTTTTGGTCTAAAACAGAGTCACAGCTCTATTCTTCAAAGATTGGATGCCAGCTCGCATGCTGCAAATTGGGTTACAGGAGTGTTGTTATCCCTTCCATGAGACATATCATATGACTTTGAGGAACTTGGGGGAATTGGAACCTATAGAGGAATAATGCAAAATGTCAGGAATTTTTTCCCTGGGACCACTGTCACGTATTTCAGAAATGAAATCTCCCTAAGCAAAGCTAGTTCAACAATTTCTTCTCTGTGATATTTTCCAAAAAAAAGAAGGAGAGACAGCAACTGTTCCAGCTCACTGGTAACTCAGAAAGTTAATGAGCCAGGTTCTGCTGTTGGGCATGCAGCAACATATGCTTATGGAAATCTGGAGCTGGTGGTGTCATCCTTTCTGAGGATGCAATAGATGCTTCCTGCTGTAGCCTTGCAGGTCTCCTCCTCGCCAGTGGCTACAAAGGTTGGATCCTTGCCAAATGGAGAGGCTTGTTCTCTGTTTCTTTATGCCAGCGTTGTTTGGAGGTCTGGCTTCTTATTGGACCTGGCTTGCGTGGACATGAGCCCTGTTTCTGCAAGTTTATGGTGTTTCATTGTTCAGATGATTTGTTCCTCTGACCTTTGCAGCCCCACATACTTCCTGATCTCCCTCCCCCCATTTCCAGTAACTGAAGTTTTCAATTCCCTGACATAGGTTCAGTCTGATAACCTTGCTCTTCGGGGCCTTGCATCTGGTGTTAACAGCAAGCACTGGGTATAAGGTTTGAAAGATCTGAAATGACTGACCCTATAGGCAGGCAGTGAAAGAAACACAGATCTGGCCAAGTTTAATCATTATTTTTATTGGTTTTGATATTGTCTCTTTGCACGTAGGCTTGTACAAAAGCACTTCTGCAGGTCACAGAATGATCTGCAAATTGTGAAAGCTTCAATTCTGGATCAGTTTATGATCCAGTGGATGGTTTAGTTTTCTTCCTCATACAGAAAAGTTTTCAGTTTTCTTGTTTTGAATTGTCCGGACATATAATGGTGTTTGTAAAGGCTGGTAGCAACGCTTTGCTTTATTCCATGGTGGGTAATTTTCCAGCAACTGTTTCCTGGGGAGAAAAGGGAGGAACTAGCCAACACATCACGTAAATCACTTGATTGCAGTCTTTAAACTCTCTGTGAAGGGGCTTCCCAATCCGAGCAATGGGGACACTGCTTTTAAGGCAGTGCAGGGGCAGCACTATCTAGTAAAAGATCCTGCAATAGGGCTGGGTCATGACATCTTTTTGATTCAGGATTTCTAACTTCTCCCACCATCAGCCAAGGTTAAGAGGCATTCGCTGACAGGGCACTAAGGTTTACCACCCTGGGTGTGGCTATGAGATGAAATATTTTATGTCAATATGTGGTCAGGCCACTATACACACACAGACAATAATTCAAGAATTCTGCCACTCCTCTTCTTCTCCAGGAATTTACTTACTAGAGAAATAATATGCCTTCTTACAGACTTCATTCATCATTTCCAGTGCATATATGGGGCTGGCCACTGCCCACTGCAGCTTTAAGTACTGTTTCCTTTGGGGGCATTGCAGTGCTTGAGTTTAACAGCAATCTCTCTACTACCTCTTGAGCCTGAGCACTTTTTTCTCTTTCACATGTGCTAGGGAGACATGTCTGGTGCAGTCCAATGAGCTATATGGAATTTGTAAACTAAGTGAAAGGGGTTTTGTTTGTTTGTTTTGTTTTGTTCTTTTTGTTTGTTTGTTTTTTGTTCTTTTTTTCCTTCTTTCCTTGTTCTGCATTTTGGCTGAATGACTCCGTGTCATCCAGCAGGACCTTTCCCCTTCTCTGGCATGTGTGCCAATGTTTGCAGCAGTCAGTTGCCCTTCTCCCTGCTGGTTTTGAATCACAGAATCTTCCAAGAAGTTGATCCATTTTCTCATTTTCCCAGGTTTCATCAAATCCTTTACCAGACGCTTAGCTTTCATTTCCCAGCTCTGGGGAAATAGAGAGCTTCTTCCTCACCCCAAATTATTTTGTCTCTGTGGGGTGTGCCCTGTTACATCATGCATCAAAAATCTGTCCTAAGACAGTGTCTTCCGCTATTCTCTTTACCTTCTGATGAGATCCATTCTCATGCTGCAAGCAAAGCACTGGAAATGTTGTGGGGCCTGAGACAATGTTTTCAAAGCCTGGTGACTGCAAAGCCTATTTTGAGCTGTAACAGATGCTACCGGACATATGGCACAGCTGAGGAGCCTTGCAGCAGGACTATAAATGCTCTACAGATCTTTGTCCCTGACTCAGTGGGTGGATTTCCTGTGAGAACTGGAACCATGGAAGGGGAGAAGTAGATATAAATGCAATTTGCTAAAGTTCCTAACAAGTCCATGGGAAAAAAAATGCCACTGGGAAAGGCAGATAAAGTATCTTGGGTGGAACAGGGCTTGTGGCAGCTGAGAAGGATGCTTAAAAAACAGCTTTAATGTGGGAAGAGGGTCACACTGACAAATGGCTAATTTGAGATGGAGCTGTTACAGATCTCTATAAATGCCAGAAACGTGGGTCAGTATGTAAATTCTTTATTGGCTTATAGGTATGTTTTACTATCCGTAATGCTTTTGTCTTAAACCAGTGTTGGACTTTGTGAGAGCAGTCTGGTTAATGGATAACTCATGGCTATCTCAGAGTACAGCACAGCTTTGAGGGTCTGAGCAAAATCTGAGCTGTGAGGAGGAAGTCACATTAATGATGCTGGAGGATCTGCTCTATGCCTGGTGACAAAAGAGTGCGTATACTGTGTGAAGCAGCAGTAATTGGGAGGAATGGGAAGTTCACTCCAGGAGGTGAGCACAGGGTGACAGAGAAATGAGCCAGGTTGTTGCCCAGACACTGGTGAACCTGAGTGAGCAGCCCCCAGAGTGCCATGGAGCATTTTAGTGCATTTTTTGGCTTGGAGTTGTGATGGTGTTTTGTTTGGATCTGCTTGTGGTGCTGAGAACAAGAACCCCAAATGAGCCAAAGATCAGGCAGCACATCACCCCTCTCCCTCACATCTGCACATCACTTGACAGTTCCTGTTTTGACCACAGGCCTGGTCACAGGAGACTGAGCCTGGAACATAATGAGAGAGAAGAGAATGTTTCTCCAACCTGAAGATGTTATGGGGAGGGAACCACTGTCACGTTTTAACTACATATATATTTGTGATGATCCAGATCAGATAGCTGGGGCCTGTTCCAGCTGCCATTGCCACTGAGTGCTGCTCTTCAGTGTTTGTGGAATAGGGGGATGAGGAGATCTAGGGCTCTGGGTCATATCTGCTGCAATCCACTCAGTCGCTTTCCTAGAGCTCTGGTGCCAGACATTCCCTCATATACGGAGACTCTGCTCACTTTCCAGGGATGTGGCTGTTTTGCACACATTCCTCATCCTTTTCACTGTGTGTTTGCAATATAGCTCCCCTTTTATATGGTGTAAGCACAGAAAGGCCTCCAAGTGCAATCCCAGAGTCCCTCCTTCCTCACCTGCCTTCATTGCCTGCTGTGCTCTTGCTTCCCTATTGCTGCCCAGCAGTTGGATTGCACTGTTTCATGCCCAGCATCCCAGTAAATCATTTGTTCCCCCTGTGGGGCACACTTTCCCCACAGCCCAAAGCAGGCCTTCTCTGACAGCACTACTGGCCCTTTCTAGTGATGACTGCTGCATGAACTTGTTCCTGCCAGCAGCTGCAGGCAACTTTTCTTGTTTCTCACATCTTTCTTGGGTCCAGCTTACAACCAAGTATCTTGTGAAGGTTTTCTCTCCTCCCGGCACTCTTCCAACAGAGGTGGTAAATGATGCATATATACCCACTGTCTTTATACACTGTTTTGAATGCAGGTACTCTGCTCACAGACCACATGGAACACAAGCAGCTAGAGGGATTCTAGATCCCCGCATGTCCAAGGACCTTTCTCTTCCTGCCTTGATCTGCCTTGCTTTGGTGTCTATCAAGCTGGACTGTGCTGCTACAAAGAAATTGTTTTCATCCCACCTCTATGTACAGTGCAAGGAGTTTTCTTTGCCCAGCTTACTGCAGATTTAGTGGCAACTGGTAGAACTTTACTTGTCCTCCTCAGTCCAGTTCTTTCAGAAGAGGACAGTTTCTTCTCCACGATCTTGCCCCAAAGTGAATTCATTAGCTAAATGATCATTCCAGTTTAATCCCAGATGTGTGTTCCCAGCCCACAAGAGCAGTGACGCAGTCTGTGCCAATACATGGTGATTCAGCGGGTGATTCCCGCTGACATTTTACAATGCAACAACAACCTAAGAGCAGCTCTGTAACATCAGTGATGTATCATAAACAGTGTACCCAGCTGGATTCTCCAGACTGTGATATATGTACTGAATGTGACATTGTGCATGACGCTTTGCTGGTTTACACGATAAGCCTGATGAAGTTCTTTCACTTAACAGTAACCTTCCTGGTTTTGCTCTGTCCCTAGCCAGCCCCCTCTCCTGTCTACCCAGGGCCTGTCTGCGCAATTGCGCCAGTCTCTGTGATTAACTGAATGATCAGTAGTGCTTTATGGCTTTATGTAACCACACTGCCCTATGGAAGCTCTTCCTTGCTGCTGTCTCTTTCTGTGCATGTGTTTTATATATATTTATCATCAAAGCAGGAGAAACAGACATTTGGTTATCTATATTTATGTCTCCTCTCTCTCTTCTATTTCTCCTTGATTTTCAATGGACCTTATCAAGGACATGCTAATTGCTTTTCAGAAATATGTCTGGTGACAGCATTCAAATCAGGCCCTATACTTAGCCTGCAACACTGACTCATCACAGCATTTCAGTCAGTAACTCACTATGGGCTGATTTCCTCCCAAAGAGGGTTTTCACCTATGAGGTGAACTCCTCAACTTTCAGCATTCTGCTGTATGAGAGAGGTTATGGTGGTGGGAGGAGGCTACCTCTACTTTTCCTCTTACTCGTAGTATACTTCACCCCAGAGCCCAAGAAAAGCAAGATTTGACATGCTGGCCACGGATAGTAGTGTGGATGGAAGAAGATATGCCCTGAAAGCAGACCATCCCTGAACCATGAGCAGCAGTGGAAGGGTTGGGGAAGAGGGCAGGGAAAAGGAACACCTAAAAACGAGCAAGAGGCTGAGGGGTTGAGACAGGTCAGGAGGAGAGGGAGACGGGGTGAACCCTTGATAAGAAAGAAGACAAATGCAAGGCAGATTTCTTGGGTAGGGAGATAAGGGGCACAAGTTGCCACCTCCACCCACTGCATTCATATCAGCGAAACACAGTTTCAGCCTTTGCTGGAGCTGTAGCCAGCACAGGGAAGGTCCTGCCTCCCTTGCACACCAGAGCACAGACTAGAGCTCTTGGACTTGTCAAATGTTTGTCTTGAAGCTGGAAGCAGGAAGAGAGTCCCACAGTCCAGGGCTGTGTTACACTCCATGATTCAGGTTTCGTCAGTATTAACCTGAGCATCTTTGATGCCATCCGCTGCTGTGCAGAGAGACTGACATAAGGGACTAAGCTGGTCCAGAGCCTGCTTTTCATCCTCTCCCTATTATTGGTTATCCTAGTGCCTGGCCAGCTCCTGATATAAATTAAAAGAGATCCAGAGCTGTTTGATCTTGCGCCCTGCAGAGCTGAACTGTTCATGTGCTGAAATTAGCTGAAAGTAACTGGACGTCAGCAATCATCTAAAGCATCTCTTCCATGTAAGCCTCTCTTTCCTCCTCCTTTTTGCATTGCTCCGCAGTAGGAAGAAAGTATGTGGTTATATTCTCTGTGTTTGTCAAAGAACTTTTTTATCCTGGGTGATTTGTGGACAGAGTGATGAGGAGGAGTCTTCACACTCCTTCAGGGTAAAAGGTAGTGATTTATAAAGAAATAATAAATAAATAAATAAATAAATAGAGAGAGAGGGAGAGAGAAAGAAGGAAGGAATAAAAGAAAAATATGAGGAAAACAACCTTTCTCTCTTTTTTTCCCCACCCTGTTAACCTAGTAGAACCTCTGCTCAGAAGACACAAAGGTCTAGGTGCAAGAATGATAGTGTCAGCAAGGAACTATAGTTCCTTTGCCTTGGCAAAGAAGAAGCGGAAGGTTGCTTCAGTGAAGGGGAAACCTTGGGCCACAATCAGGTGGAGGTAGGGAAAACATCATCCTTTCATTTCCCAATATATTTGAGCTGCTGGCAACCATGCTTATGCTTCAATCCAGTGTCCCAGAGGGCAGGGGTTGCTGTTTCTCCAGACCAGTTAGTGGGGAATATGTCCTGGGGCAAAGGTAAAATTCCACTCAAGGCTGATTTAAAATCTCTGCTTGCTATTGGCAAGGTGAAGTCAGAGAGGATGGGGAAAGGAGAGAGGGGGATCTCTGGCACAGTTTGTGTTGTAGGACAGCAATGGACTAAAGTTTGCTGTTTCGGTGACTGTTTCAAGCACAAAGAAAAATGAATCCTGCCCTCTGCCAGCACTTCGCAAAGCCAGGGTACATTTCCTAGAAGTGCCTCTACATATGTTAGCAAGAAAGCAATTGTCCATATATTATTGCAGCAAGAACAGCATGGCGAGTGGTACAGGAGCTGTGAGCCTAGGAAAGCAGATCTCCTGCAGGGAAAGCGGTGCTATAACCTGCTGAGTGCCAGGGAGCAGGTTGTTCCTCCTGACTCCAGACAAGCTCAAATGCAAGTCCCAGGGCTGGAAACAGGCAAACTACCAGCTACAGAGTTGCAGTTCTATACTTCACTGAGGTCATCTTGCTTACAGTATCCCCTTTTCCAGGAACAGTAGTCTGGGGAAAACTACAATTCCCAGTACCCTTTTGTGCATGCCTGTGCAAACTACAGTTCCCAGAATCTTTTAATGAGTCAGAGATGATGTTCATGGAAATAAATGCCGAGGATTTTTGCATAACACCCTGCACCTCGGAAGTGCTGGCCAGCCCTTAACTTGGTTAGTCAAAATGGGAACCTTGGAGAAGCCGGAGAGCATCTGCACTGCAGAGCTTTAGTTTTGCTCATTCCTGACAGCAGCAGCGATATCCTACAGCACAGAGCACCCCTGCTCTCCACCTAGCCCCGTTTGTAGTCACAGGGCCCATAGCAGCCCTGAGAAATACGGCTGCTGCAGAGAGAGAGGCAGATGAACTACAGATCCCGACATCCCCTGGTGGGCAGCACCTGCAGCAGTCCCTGCACACCGAGGGGATGAGGATGAGGATGGAGGGCGGGGAGGAGACGCAGGGCGCTGCGGGGCTGCGCTGCACCTGGGACATCCTGCCGCCCGCCGGCACCCAGGCCAAGTGGGTGAAGCTCAATGTGGGGGGCACCATCTTCCTCACCACCAGGCAGACCCTGTGTCGGGAGCAGAAATCTTTCCTGTGTCGCTTGTGCCAGGGCGAGGAGCTGCAGTCAGACCGGGTAAGGCAGCCGGCTTGCCTCCTGCACCATGCCCCACTGAGAGCAGGGGGGCTGGAAAGATGCTGGGATGAAGCCAGACCCCAACAGATGCAAGAGGAATTAAGGCCCCTCTCCTGAGAACCTTCTCTTGCTTTCCTTGCCAGATGCTTGTGCGCTGTGTTGTAGCACAGCACCTTTCTCCCTGATCTGGGGAAAAAGAGAGTCCATCTCCCCTCTTTTCTGGCTCTCGTGTCTCACACTATCTCACTATCCCCCAAAAGGTCCCAGATCTACATCCCAGCTCTATCTCCCTGACTCAGCCTTGTTTCTGTAAGGGCTGTATGTCTGTTCTCTCACGCCAGCCCTGTACACCCTGTACACAAAGTCACAGGAGGAGCTAGAGGCTTTTTGTTTGTTTGTGTTTTGTTGTTGGTTTGTTTTTGTTTTGTTTTGGCTTTCATAGCTGCTTTTCTCCGTGCTGAAATGGGCATCTAAGAGATAATGAGACAGGAGTTAAAATCCAAGCAAGGCTGATATGGACTGAGGCTCTCCATAGTCCACATCAGGGAAGTAAATTGCAGAAGGTGGTGCCACTTACTGTGTGAGTTAAACGTTTTAGAGAGTCAAAGTCCTACTAAAACACAGAAAAAAAAAAAAAAACTTTTTTTTTTCCCTCCAGAACTTTGATTTGCTGTGTTGAGCATTGCAAATAGGTTTGTTCTCCCCTCTGTGGGAACAGGCCAAGGACTTAATCACCCGGCCTTTGGCTTGGCACACTGGTTGGCTGTTTTATTGTGTAAGTGAGTGTCCATGCATGTGTTTAGGATCCTTTTGCTTTATTTCATCATCATTCCTCAGATCATCTCATGAGGATAAGGAGTAATGTCATCTTCTTTTTCCACTCGACAGCTGCTGTGTGCCTTGTGCAGTGGTGTACAATGGAGGAGCTGAAACCATTGGCTTTGCCCATGGTCTCCAAGGAACCTTAGAAATAGTGGACATTTCTGCTTATATTAGGATATGTAGGATTAGTATTTTCCTCTAATCTGAAGCATGTGAGAGTTGTTGAAACTTTTCCCATATGATTTTTCTCCTTATGGTTCATCTCTATTACTAGGATGAGAACGGTGCATATCTAATAGACCGGGACCCCACTTACTTTGGACCCATACTGAATTTCCTCCGTCATGGGAAGCTGGTTCTGGATAAAGATATGGCTGAAGAGGGTGAGTTTGGGAGCTCAAAAACTTCCCACTTAAGATTCCTCCTGGAACCAGAACACAGGGCAATTCGCTGTTCATCTTGTAGTTTCCTACTGTCCTCCTTTGGTGTGGGGACATTTGAGAGTGCTGGCCCTGCTGCTCTTGGAAATCACACAAATTCCTCCTTTCCTTAGGGGCTTTGAAGAGGGTGGGAAAGTCATCCTATGATTGTTGTGGCTTCTCAACTGCTAGTTCAGCAGAGACGTCACTGAAGCAGAAGTAGTCAAGGTCTCTTAGCCTCAGTAAACTGTTTTATCATCTGTTCTGGATCCTCTTATTTGGGCTTTGTGACTGAAGTGTCTGTTAATAATTAAATATTTCTACTAGTAATGAAAACCCAAAAGATGAAGTTGATCTAGCTCATCTCTTCTCCTGATTGTAATAAAGACCATCATTAATTGGTTATACGCGTTTATATGTCAGTAGAGCCTTATGGGTTGAGGCCTGCAGCAGTTTCAGTGGAACGGGACAGACAAACCAATCCCTCATTTGAGATTGACAAAATCCAACAGGATAACTCTCTAACATGATCTCAGGGTTATCAGTTAATAATTTCTTATGCATCATTTTCTTTTGTTGTTGTTGCGGCTTCCGTTTTGTTTTGGGGGATTTTTTGACATTAAAGAAGTAGACAATTCTAAAGACAGGCTATGCTGTTCGGCCTCTGCTAAGTACAATTTCTGCAGGTTCATCAGTCTTCTCATCTCTCAAGTATTTTTACCTAACAAAATGATTTTTTTTCCAGAATTGTCTTATGGGTTATGAGTACAAAATAAAACATCCGTGCAGTGATACAGAACAATAATAAACATGATTATGAGGTGTTTTCTCCTTGCTACTTTTTGTAATCCTCACATCAGACAGAATTCAGCCACAGGCTTTAATATAAAAATCTGCAGCATAACGGGAGTCTGGTTCACAGCTTGATACTGCCTTTTATCCCTGCCACAGACACTGAGACTGACATGAAATAAAACTCATCAGATGAGTCAGGATATAATGAAGGGCTCTGAGTGGGCTGGACAGAGCTGGATCAATCCACCCTACCAGCTGAATCTGTGTACACCCCTGGGTACATGTGAATGTCGGTTGCTACCCTCCTTACCGTCATTGATGCACCTTGCTTTCCCCAAAGGCCTCTAATGAACAGGAGAGTCTCAGGAGAGGTGGTAGATGCACGCAATATATATATATTTTTTTCAAAAAAGCACATCTCTGTTTACCTGCTTTAAGGTGAAGCACAGGTGAGAGAGTGACAGATTGTCTGAAATGTATGCAGTTGCTGGTGGTCACTTTTCCCTGACTGCCTCAAGAGAATGGTGGAGATTTTCTAGGGTCTCTCACTGATGAGATTAGAACAAGTCGTGTTTTCCTGCCTTCCAAAGAGTGCTAAGGCAAGGTGGTAATTCATGGGCCTTAGAGAGAGGCTGGAGCTTACATTTATTCATCTTGGCCAGTAATCTGGTAGTGATTGTCATACTCCCAGGAAAAACTTTTCCCTGCCTGTAAAGGTAATAGCAGGTAATTGGCTCAAACCTTCATTGTCAGTGCCTGTTTCTGAAGTAGTAGATAGCATAATGGAATTGGAGTGAGCAATCAATCAGGACCACAGTGCAGAAAGACAGAGTCAATTTCCTGTAGTAAGAGGTTTGAGCAACAGAAATGAGAGTGAGGCCATAGTGTCATTTCTCCCAATATAAGGGAGAGGACCTTGGGAAGTTCTGAGCTGATCTTTTGCAAATCGAAAAACAAGAAATGTCTGTTAACATCTTTGTGTCTTTGTTGTCTCTCTCTCTCCTTCTCTGTCAGGGGTTCTAGAAGAAGCTGAGTTCTATAACATCGGGCCTTTAATCCGAATAATCAAGGATAGACTGGAGGAGAAGGATTACACAGTAACTCAGGTACAGATGGAAATGGCAAGCAAAGACATAGTGGGAGAAGGAGAAAAGGCTAAAAAGGAGAAGTGAGCCTACAGAGAGGGCAGACTTGGAAGAAGCAGCCAGAAAAGATGAAACTAATTAGAGCTTATATGCTAATCTCTGTATAACAAAACAGTGCCAGAGGCAGACTACCATCATTTTAGTTATGATAAAACTGCCTTGTTTTGCAGCCTCAGAGGTATCACTGGATGTAGCTGTTGAAACAAAATGGGCCCCTATAACTTTTCAAACAAGCCAGCTGATCAGTGTGGGTATGGAAGGATGTTTACAAGGAGAGTGGAGATGTTGTGGGGAGGAGGGCTTTGGTGTGGGAAACCCCAGGAGAATAATCACAACAAAGAACAGGGGGGTACTTGGAGAGGTACTTAGAGGAAAAAAGTGAAGGGATGTCTGTGAAAGAGTTAAATGCAGAAAACAAGGCACAAGGAATTGATCCCGTGGCAGAGCTGCACCTTCTCCTGGCCAGCAACCTTTTCAAACCTGTCTTCTGGGAATATTTGACTAATGTCTCACTTTTCATCACGTATGTCTCTGGTTCTAAGCTTCCAGTAACAGACAGTCCCTTTGTGCTTCCAAAATCCTATCTGCCTTTGTGTCATTTGTGTAAAGGACTTTCTGTAATGACAAATGCAAGTACTCCATAGGAAAGAGCCAGCATCCTCTATGAACAATGTAGGAAACTCTCAGCTCATTCCCTTCCCTCCAGAACAGATACAGTTGCACTTGTCTGCCTGGACAGCACAGTAGAAAGCTGGGATGTAATTCCTCCTGTCCTTTATCCTCAAGGAAGGGTACTACTGCATGTTTGTCTGCTGGAGAGCAACAGCCTTTAGCATGGGACCTGGGCAACATGCTCCCTGCAATTTTGCTTGTAGGTGCCTCCCAAGCATGTCTACCGGGTGCTGCAGTGCCAGGAAGAGGAGCTCACTCAGATGGTTTCCACTATGTCAGATGGATGGCGGTTTGAGCAGGTTTGGAGAGGGAAGAGAAGGGTGGGCAGGAGTTGTCTTTTGGGGTAAAGATCATTCTCACAGGAATATTGGAATAATAGGCAAGTCCCACACATGGCAACACACCTTCCCACTCTGGAAATACTGCTCAGTCACTGATGCAGTTGTCATGTTGGCTACTGCCCTGCCTCTTCCCTCTAATTTTTGAAGATGTAGTGTGTCTTTCTGGGGTGTGAATGAGATTAAGGTGTTTGAATCCTGGACTGCACAGTGAAGGTGTTTGAATTCCGGCCAGAGAACCAGCCCCTCCTGGTATTCTGTGCCACTTAGTTATCAGGCCTTTCTAGTAGAGATAAGGATTAGACTCCATGATGCATGAAGAGTTTTCTCTCCTGCTCTCTAAGCAAGTGAAGTGGATGTCTGTAGTAACATAGGTATGATCCTAGCACTTTTGTCCTCTCTAGCTTGTGAACATTGGCTCATCTTATAACTATGGGAATGAGGATCAGACAGAGTTCCTGTGTGTAGTCTCCAAGGAGCTGTACAACTCTCCCAATGGCACGAGCTTGGAGCCCAGCCATAAAGCCAAGGTGAGACCAAGTTTGTTAACACCCTGCTCTTGTTGCCTATGAGACCTTTCACACTGTTTGCTACCTCTTTCTTTCCATCCTTTGCTGTGACTGTGGGGCATCCCTATGGTGAAATATGGAGCTTGACCTGGTGTTCAGCACCATGACATTACATCTCTTGCCAAAAAGGAGGAGAACATGTGTTAGATGTGGTAGAGCCCAGCCATTTAGGACAAATGGGTTTAATAAGTGCCTCAGTATTTCCCATGCTATTCTAACATCCTTCTCATCCTGCCTCAGGACCATGCTGTGTATGTCACTCAGCCATTAGGGTGTAATTGCCTCAAAGGCTTTATAGCATTCCCTTTTCTTGCTGAGTCTCAGGCTAAGGGGGCAGGAGAACACCTGGTCCCCTCCCAAGGGATGGATAGAAACATGTGCATGACATCCTGAGGGCAGCTTGGATTTGGGAAGGAGTGCTAGCAACTGATGACAGACAATGGGATGACAACATTTGTAAGTACGTTAGATACCTCTAACCTGATGATACAGAGGAAGACAAATCTCTGCTTCCTGACCCAGAGTTCTCTTGGCTATAGGGAGAAATTCCTTTCTATGACAGTATCATGAAGACTGCTTAATATCCTTGTGTGTGAGCAAGAAACACCACGGCTCATCTTGCAAGTGTCTCCACTCTTTCTTCCCTTTATCCTGCATGCTGGGCCGCAGAGCACAAAGGAGGACCCGGAGGAGGAAGAGCAGGAGGTGGAGGAGGAGGTGGAGAAGGAGGCAGAGGCAGAAGCAGAAGCAGAGGAGAAAGGTGCAGCAAATCCATGAGGAAAATGATAAAAATAAGCATAGACCCGTCCACCCGTCTGGTGAGAGTTCACAGCTAGTGGCAGGGAAGCTCTAGGGTTGGGGGAAAAATCATTCCAGGGAGCAGGAGTTGCTCTGGGGATGACGATCACGGGGGAGAGCTGTTACCTTGGCTGCTGCTTTGCATTTTTAACAATTTGGTTTATTTATTGTTTTATTTTTGTTTGCAGACTGTCCATCTACTCAGGATTCTTCTAAACTCTTTCTTCCTCTGGACCCTCCTTCCTGCTCCCCTACCCTCTGCTCTCCATTTGTCACTGAGATGTTTGTCTCCTTGTGGTTACTTCCCTTCCACCCTACCCCACTTCCCTGCCTCCAGCAATGTTCCCTCTGCTCTCTTTGCCCCTCACAGCCTTTCCTCAGCAGCCTAGGTACCTTCTGCCCCTTCCCACCTCAGGGCCCTGTGTGCTCCCTGCTCAGGGCCCTTCCTCTGCCTCTCACTTTGCCTCCTCTGCAGGTACGTTACCTGTCTGCACTGTCAGATCCTGCCAGTCTGAACTCTGCATGAGTGACTCACTGCCTTCTTGTGGATACGGGCCCGGTTTGTAGAGCTGAGGGAGAGGAGGTGGAAAGGGAGGTGATGCTGAGTCATTACTAAGGCAGCTTTTCTGATTTTTTTTCCTCATATATGGGCCTTAGTCACCAAGCAGGCCATACGGTGCTGGACTAGAAGCTCTGGCAGCACAAGGGCAATCGCGGCTAGGAGAAATGAAAAGGGGTGGAAATAAATGCAAAGCCGGCAGTGGTGGCACTGCAGGGAGTCTGCCACGTGACTGCCTGACTCGCATGCCAGAACCCTTCTCCAGGCTGCCGTCCATAGCTCCTTTGGCAGCCAGAGAGCTGTCTGCAGAAGCAGCTTGTGATTTTTCCCTCCCCACTCCTACTTCCCCGGGCATTTCCCTTACCGCCTCTGCAGGATGAAAATGCAGAAGGAGCATGGGGCGAAGGCAAAGCAGAAACTGCAGTTCTGCACTCCAGATGTTCCCCCAGCTGTGTGCGAATGTGCCTCAGTGCTCTCATGTACTCAGGGAGGCCGCCTGGCCTGGGCTGCGTGCCGCTGGGGGTGGGGGCACACAGAAAGCTTAAAAGGCGGATGCCTCCTTCTTACTGGTAAAGTGTGGGACTTTTATTAACCTGGAGATGCTGAGTACCACTTCCCATCCTGATGGAGAGCACTCGTTAGCTGTTTCTCTTGTCCTCTGTTCAAGAACCTCTTTGTCTGTGGCTGTGGGACCCAAGTATTATTCTCTTAAAAATCTGTGTATGTTACTCACACAGACTTTCCCTCCTATTTCTTTTTTCCTTCACTTTCACTTCTTTTTTTTAATCTCTATTTTCTCTCACATTCTCTTTCCCTCTTCCTGTTTCTTGCTCTCCCCTCCATGTTCAAATATTTTTTTCTGCCTTTTATTTTGTTTCTCTCTCTTTCATTCTCTAGCTGTTACAAGCCAGAGGCCTGAATATGATCCTGATCCAGTGTTTTAAATGGTGGTTTCTACATTTATTTTTGTAGTGTAGTGTATGTCAGCCCCTTGTGCTACAATGACATCCCCCTCCTCCTCCTCCTTCACTCTTCGCACGCAGCCTTTGGTTCTTACCAAGTGACCTCCATGACTCAGGCCTCCAGTGCATGGAGGAAAGAGGAAGGAGGAAGGCAGATGCTCCAAGGAGTGCCTGACCTGCTAGGATCTGGAGTCCACAGCCATCTCCCATGCCCACCAGACTGGCTTTCCTTAATCTCACAGTGGCCCTTGCTGGGGACATCAGTGCTCGGCCTCTACAGCATTCAGTTTCTAGCTGCAGGACTGGGGCTCTGATGTGTGGTACCTGTTGTAGTAACGGTGGCCGTAGTCACGCAGGGCAGATAGTCTGGCCTTGTGTCCAGAGAGGCAAACGTGGAGCCACTGCATTTTTCTGGACCTGCACTGCTTGTGGGGTGTCCCTATGCTTGGTAACATGCTTGCTGGTGCCTCCTTCCCTCCCTATCCCGCAGAGAAGCCCTGTGTTGGCACACACGGGATAGGTGTGCTGCCTGGATACCTGTGGGGAATGTACTGGTGTCTGACATAGTGTCTGTTAGCACGAGCAGAGCCCTGCCTCTGGGAGTGGGGAGTTTGCTTCACCACCATGTCCAAGGACACCAGGTTTAACTCCTGAATAAATTTCACGGTATATTCCTCCATGCTGTGCCTTTCCTTTCAAGTGGCAGAAATTTAGTACTGGTGCGGGAGGGTGGGGGCCGGAAGAGAGGAGTTGGGTTCATCACCTGGAGCCAGCACAGGCTCTTTATGCTGGGCCTGTAGATTCTGGAGGCTGGTGGCACCTCCCAATGGATCTCTGCTATGGCCCCACTCCATGCAGCTGGAGTACAATACAGGTTTGGCTATTGGTGTTTGCAACTCTAACTGAGAACAATGAGCAAGCACTTTCCAGCAAGCTGATACATTGACCCTACTGTGCCTGGGACATAGCTGCGGTGGTTGTGGTGTCTCCTTTGCCAGTTTTCAGTGCTGAGCCAGAACTGGAGTTTGGTCAAAAGAAAAGATCCAAACACCAAGAGAACTTGTAACAGAGAAAAGCAAAGCAGAAGCATATTAAAAAAAAAAGTTTTATTTCTACTTCCAGAGCATGGCTCATTATATATATATTTAAGTATGAGTGTATGTATGTTTGTGTATCTTTAGTAAAACAAACAAACAAAAAACACTAAACCAACAGCAGTCACTATCTAAAGCACTGTACCCTTAGTCTTCTCCCTCACCTCTTAGGCTGGCTGACCAAACAGATGAGATTACTTCATGTTAAAGGTATTTAACAGGGCACAGGGAAGTAGATAGAAGGATTCTCAAATGTTTTTTTTACTGAACTTTGCCTGAAGGAGTTCAGGAGCAGCAGCAGAGCCTGGATGTTATTTCAGCAGGGAAGCAGGGACACATGTTTAGGGATATGATGTTGGCCTAGTGCCTAGGAGTCAGTGAGATGTGAAAAACATTATCTGGTTAAGCTGAACAGCACGTGCCAGCTAAGAAAAAAAGCAATTAGAGAGATGGAAGAGGAGGAGTGATGGGAGGGGTTGGAGGAAAAAGGATGAACAGCAGGAAGGAAGAGGGAGGCAGACTGATTTCACAGTTACTCAAACCTCTATCTACATCAGTCACATCTTCTTTCAGAAAATGTTTCAGCATAACATTGTGGTAGAAATCACATGGTTCATGTAAAGTTCATCTCTCCTTATTCCTCTACTCAGAAACTATCAGCTTGGGACCCTTGCTGTTCCCCCCTCCCTCCAATTGTTTTGAACATCTGGCCTAAAAACATCTTACGATGCTCTCTGGCTAAATGCTGAGGGAGAAGAGGGTCTGCCTGCTTCCTTCCACCATCTCCTCTGCAGGCTTTCTACAGTACTCAGAAGAGCATCTCAGGTCTGACAACATCCCACATAAAATCTCTCTCTCTGTGAGAGAAGTGAGTAAGGTCAGGAACAAGCACCATATGAACATAGATCTGGTGGGAAAAGGCAGAGATGGACTTTTCTCAGCTCATGGTTTGTTTCTCAGCTCATGGTTTGGTTCATCCAGCCCAGCACTTGGGTGATTCTGGTATATACTCCATAGTAATTTGGACGTGCACAACCCATTCCCCAGCTCACCAAACCAGCCAGAAACCACTTGCCACTGGGCTCCTTGCAGGCTAATGGACCGCCAGAATCACCCTAGAGAAAGGGAAATAAAAACAGGATTATGGTGATCCGCCAACTTCTCCTGATGGATCTTTACACTGGCTTTGAAACACGCTACTTAATTTTCTGCACAGCCTTTTCTCATGTCTGGGACATCTTCAACATCCCTGGGTACCTTAGGCATGCGGCGAGGTCTTCTACAGAAATAAAACTAACTCATTATATTAGAGCATTCTTTGACCATGTAAATTCCTCTCCTTTAGCCTAGGAATTTCCCAGCTCTGTTGTTTACTTCCGCCCTGTGTGACACATTTCCAGGCTGTCCAAATATTTGGAGAGTAAGGAAGGTGATGGAATTAAACTGGATGCCTGAAGGTATGGGAGTCAGCGGAATTACTTGGGGTTAATTGTAATGAGGAAACACATGAATTTCTGGGTTTGGCAGTTACTGATAAGGATGAGGGGAGAAAGGACTGGTGTAGATAGGCAGATTATTTGGAGTGGGGAGTGGGGAGATAAAGAGATGAGAATGAGCCCAAACGAGAAAAGAAGCCTAAGTGCATTTGCAGCCTGGGTGAGTCAGGCATTTTAGTAATGGTGGCCATAGTTGCATGGGGCAGATAATCTGGGCTTGTGTCCAGAGGGGCAAATGTCTTCTCACTCTCACTGTGGAGTGCATTTGGGAGATTGCAGACACACCCCACTACTGCTAAATGACTTTGATCCCACAACTCCTCTGTCACCTGGCAGGCATCTTTCTTGCCCTTGCGGTACCCAGCACAGAGCATCCTGGGAGAAATCATGTAGTGATAGGCCTCACTGCAGATGTCATGCTGGATGAGCTGCACATCAACCTTCTGCAACATGTTGCTGATGCGGCCTGTGGGAGGAGGGGAGGGTGGAACATTAAGGGCATCACAGGTGAGTGATGCTTCCTGTAAGCCCCCAGACCATACCTATCCATTTTGCATTCCCCTGGCATCAGTCCCTGCCTTTTAACAGAATGCTTAACCTGCATGCCCTTGCAATCCTTGTTCCTTGAGAGGTATACTGTGGGCACAGCTTGTTTGGGGAAAAGTGGGAACCCGCATGTCTGTGTAGGCATGGGACTGGGCCTTGGGGCTAGGACTCTTCCATGCAGCAGTCATGGCTGAATAGCCCCACAAGTCCTGCAGCACTGTTGGACTCTTAGGGTGAGGGAACACATGCTGTTCTCATATAGCTTCCCAGACTCTCATGCCTCTGAATGATATCTCTAGTCCCCGAACAGGTAGATTAGGCCAACCTGTGAACTGACATCAAAGATGGCAAAGCAGGCATGATGTATCTGTGGTGAATAGAAACCTTTTCTGCCTAACCCACACCTGAACCTATGTTTCCACCTTGACCCTGTTCCAGGATATCCCAAGCACAGACCCTCTACCTACCGCCCTCCTTGATGGCTCCCCAGCCAGTGATCCAGCAATGAAGGCCAGGCTCAAAGAGATGGGAGGGGGCAGGCAAGCAGATAGGCTGGATGAAGGGCGAGCTGATCACAGGATGGTCCAGCTGGAGCAGAGCCACATCGTAATCATGGCTGTCCTCCTCATAATAAGGGTGGAGGAATAGGCGGTCCACCTTGAAGGACACCTCTGTGTGACTGGTGGCATTTTGCAAATACTTGCCCAAATAAACGGTCCAGACGGAGGGGGAAGCCAGTCTGTCAGATGCAGCAGAGAAAACAACTTATCACTCGAGCAAATCATGATGGCAGAGCCTGGTGGCTTCTGTCATGCTCCTTTGAAGATATGTAATATGCGTCCAATATTTGTTATGGATGATCTGTTCCCTTGAAGCAAACACTTTTTTATCTGGCTATTGATTTTAAGAAACATTTTGAGACATCTCTTTGATGCCCTGAGATGCCTGTCCAGTGAGACTGACTTCTGGCAGACACTCACAAATACACATCTGGTTATTTTCTTTAGCAGGATGACATGTATATCTAGGTTAGACAAACAAGTGAGGAATGACTATGACAGGGCAGAGAGCAAGGACTGAGCAGAGTAAGCAAAAGTGCAAGGACATGGATGGGAACATGGGGAAGAGAAACAAGATCTGAGAAACTTCCAAGATTCTAAGAAGCAGTGAAGCAGAAAAAACACCTCTGAGATGACGATATTGAAAGGCAAGGAAGCCTCTTACAGATGCAGGAGCTAAAGCTAGGGACAACAAGAAGATACCTCTGAAAACAACACTTGAGAGTTTTTTTTATATCATGAGAGGGAGATTCTGTTTATGGTAGTAGCAGACAGGAACTTGCCCTGGGTCAGAGCAGGATGAAGTAGTAGAGAACTGGTTTTGGACTCAGTCTGGTCCAACTTCTGTCTTACATATGTTGTGCTTTCTTCCACATTGCCTTCTCTAGGTGAAAACAAACAAACAAACAAAAACAACAAAAAATCCTTTCTGGTTCAGCTGGACTATCTCCTGTACTATTTCCTTCTATTTCCAAACTCTCCTTTAGGATTTACCTCCAGCCTATCACTGCCTTCTTTTGGCTTGGTCCTTCCAAGGCTGGTGCTGTTCTGCTTCTCTTTCTTCCCCTACTTCCTATCTCTCAACCCACCTAAATTCTGTTCCTGACACATCCACAAAACACATACACACACATGCAATATCTAGTAGGGCTATGCTAGTTTCATCCACTTGCATCAAAACTCTCCAAGTGGCAGCAAGATGACCAAATTCAGCTCCCACAGACCACTCAGAAGGCCTATTCCAGTACTGTTGGGCTGTCTTGAAGGGCAGGGAAGACCTGGATAGTAGGATCAGAGTAGGAACATAGCAGAGGCAGAGTGAGGTGGGAAGTGGAGCTGAGAACTAGTTCCACTTCTACAGAGGCCTATTGTGTGAGGCCGAGGACATTGGTAGCTCCCCTCCCTCATGCTCATACAGTGTCAGAAGGGGAAGTTCATCAGTAGCAGCAGGGAAGGGGAACAGCAAAAGGGTGTAAGGGGTCCATGCTAGCTCACTTGCAGAGAAAAAAAAAGTCTGAAGTCTGGAGGAGATGGAAGCTGGACCAGAGGGAGCAAGTCCTTCCCCCAGTCAGCCTGGTTGCCCGCATGGTGCTGGGCCCTCCTCCTCATTTCTTTCTGGTTTGAAAGAATGGGCTCACTCCCTTGATTTGTGTTTTACTGATGCTTTGGTAGTATGTGTGATGGATCCAAGGACATGCTCTGGAAGGAAGAAACTGGAGAGAGTCAGAGTTTGCTCCTGAAGGGGCAGGATGGGCATTGTGGGATCTAAACAGCATCCTTAGCACATAATGCTACCTAAACCTCATCCGGGTACATAGAGATGTTTCAGTGGTTACGACAGGATGAGCCAGAGGCAAAGCAAAGATAGAGCTGTGAAATATCCTGCACTACTGTTGCTTTCCCAGAGCTGCTCTGTGAATCCCAGCACTTC